TAGAGAGGGATGGTAACCCTCGAATCTTCCAAGTGAACGTGGCTTGGGGGAGCAAGAGAGGGAAAGGGATATTTCTCCTTTTTTTATGCTGCTGGGCTGAAGTTCCTCGGCCAAGATATCAGAAGTTGTAACAGCCCCCCCCCCGGTTATCCGAGGCCTTCCCCTCTGCCTTTGCCGTGGTGCCGGTAGGACTCTGGGTGGAGGAGACGGTGAGCACCCCTGTGGCAACGCAGTGCTTGAGCACAGCACAGCTGTTGGCATAGCGAAGAATGCAGCGCTGGTGTGTAGCAGAGCTGGTAACGAAGACACTCACCGGTTCACTACATTGTGAAGTAATGAAGTGGAAATGAACTGCCTGCCTCGGGAGGCGAGCTGGGAGGGGATTATCCTCTCTGACAGTAGTTCTCTGCTGGCGAGATTGATGGGATGTGCTGACGTCGGGCGCCAAACATGACCGTCTCACTTTGGAGAGCAATTAATCTGAGGAGTCAGTAATCTGTCATCCCCTTGAGCTCTCTAATAGGTGGAGGGAACCTCACCAGAAGCTCGAAATTGTTGGGGTGGCTTTGGAAGAAGTGCCCCGTGCATTTCTCACTCCTCCCCTCCACCCCCCACATCTAGAGACTATCATAGGTGCCAGGCATGAGCCCTCCTCTTGCTTTTATCACACAAGATGCTGATGGGCTGTGATGATGTTCAAAAGCACTTTAGAAAAAGAGAAATTATAACTTTAATAACATGTGATCCTGTGTTGAGAGAAAGAGGGCCTTCAGGGATTTCTGACATCAGTGGGACTTGAGGACATCTGGGTTGAAAGGGTTGAAATCGTGTAAACCAGCCTTCCCTAATCTGGTAGGTGTTTTGAGACGTGACTGGGTTCTTGTTACAGTTTGCGTCAATGATATAGAAGTGTTCCTCTGATTTTCACGTGCGTCAGAGCAGCCTCCCGGATCAGGCCAAAGGCCCACCTTGGCCGTGATGCATGCAAGTGTCTCAGCATCTGTCAGCATCTAAGAGGACGGAGGTTGAAGAAAGGTCTGTGAATGGAGGGAGGTCCTTTCTCCATCCTTTGGACCCCTTGGGGAACTCGGCAAACCTGCTGTACCTGGAATTGGGGCTGGAGAGTGCAACTGAATGGGGGCAGCTGCTAACCTTCATCTGCTGGTTCTGAAGTTGGAGCTATTACAGTGGTGCCTCGCAAGACGAAAATAATCCATTCCGCGAGTCTCTTCATCTAGCGGTTTTTTCGTCTTGCGAAGCAACCCTATTAGCAGCTTAGCGGATTAGCGCTATTAGCGGTTTAGCGGCTATTAAAGGCTTAGCGGCTAAAAGGCTATTAGCGGCTTAGCGGCTTAGAAAAAGGGGGGGGAAGCGAAAAAAATCGCAAGACTCGCAAGACGTTTTCATCTTGCGAAGCAAGCCCATAGGGAAATTCGTCTTGCGAAGCCCATCGAAAAACGGAAAACCCTTTCGTCTAGCGGGTTTTTCGTCTTGCGAGGCATTCGTCTTGCGGGGCACCACTGTAATGGGTATCACCAGGCAGGTAAAGGGGCAGAAAGCTGCATGCCAGAGGGGATGAGGAGGAAAGCCTGTGGCTTTTTCATGGTGCTCAAAACCGTGGTTCGAAGTTGTCAGAAAGGGCCACAGCATAGTTTCAGGGTTAAAGAACAGGCTTCCCTTTCTGTGCAGTCCGTTTTTCCTTTTCCACATGGGGAGTGCATGGCATAGCCAATACATTTGCTTTTTCACCCCAATCTTGATGTGAGGGAGTAGAGAAGGAAAAGGGAAGAGCAACAGTATAATCCCTGTATCTGAAGAAGTGTGCATGCACACGAAAGCTCGTACCAATAACTAAGTTGGTCTCTAAGGTGCTACTGGAAGGAATTTTTTTATTTTGTTTCGACTACGGCAAACCAACACGGCCACGGTAACTAGTATAATCCGTGCTAAAGTTGTCATCTACATTATTTGCTAGATGAAAAGGGTAGGTATTGGACGTATAGGATCTATCGGTGAAAAGGAAGGATTTAAAATCAGATCTTAGCCACCTGTGTTTATATGTGTGTGTGTTTGCCCAGCTGTTCTGCAAAGGGGAAGTTGATGCTGTGAGCTGAATCCTGCGAAAAAGCCTTTGAAACTCAGTGACTTCTTTCCTCTTTGATGCCGGGAAACTCCGTGCTATTTTGGCACAAACAACAGTTGTGTTGAGGGATTGTCTCTATCTGTACTGCTGGCCTTTCAAGGTGGGGTGCTTTCCAGCTCTGTACTTGAACATACATTTAATGGCTGTTTTCCTCTCCCTCCTTTTTTCGTCTTTTTATCTTGCAGTATTTTGTGCGTTTATAAACGGTTGTTCCTTGCCCTACAAGGCCTTGCGGTCAAGAGTGCATGTTCTAAATGGAAATAAATGCCGCAATGAGTGCCTAGAATTTAAGGGCTGTGTGATTTTTATAGTTTGCAAAAGAGCTTCCTAGAAAACACCCTTGTTTTGTCCAGAATTTAAACGGCGATGCCTCTGTTGTTAATTGTGTGCTGGCCAGGGGTCTTTAGGGGGTGCCCAGGAGGAGAAGGGCTTTGTGGCAGGAGAAAAGGAGTAAAATGTGTCAGCCAGGGGTCAACCATCAATAATGGGCTGCATCTCTGCTAAGCCCCAGCTTCCTGCATCCAGGACTTCCACAGTTTTGGAAGTGCTCAGGACATGACACGCTAATGTTCCAGCATGTAACTCCTCCTGGCAAGAACGGATGCCTAAGATTACGATTAGTTCTACGCTTCAGGAGTTTATGGGACTGCATGAAAACATGCCAGCTGCTCTCCCACTTGTTGCTCCGCGGATGCACAGGATAGTTTCGGGAAGTTGCTGGCAGCGTAGCTGGGCTCACAGCCTGGGAAAAAGCCATTCTTTTTATTCTGCAACCCGTTGGGACAACCTTTGCCAACCTGGCGGGTGACCTGCCGGCATTTTGGGCTACAAATCCCATCAGCCCCACCCAGCCAAAACACCAGGAGAGTGCCAGGTTGCAGAGAGTGGGTCTGACCCATTGCTCTTGGAGGAAGAAAAGTTATGTCAGAGTCTTGTGTTAAACCAGTGGAGGATCCCTTCAGCTGGTTCAGGATTGCTGTACTTTTTTAGTTCTTCCCATCAGGAGTGGACTAGTGGCTAAAAGTGATAGTTGAGAGCTGGGGAAGCCCAAGGGTGTGGTCTGAAGGTTTCTGGGACTACCATGTTGCAGACGTTAAGCAGATCTGGGTCTGGTCAGGGGAAGACCTCCTGAGATCTAGACACCTACCGCTTTGGGTTCCTGGATGGAATGAAGGTGGGTTGTGGATGTAAGAAAATAAGTTCCTGGTGTGCTGGGCCCGGGGGTAACCCGAGAACCGTGGTCCAGGTCCGGTCCAGAATCTGAAGGTTCCGCTAGGAGTCAGTCCGACAGGGTCAAGGCAGGACACGAGGCAGGAAACCAGGCAAGGACAGGTACAGGATCTCTGGCATACAGCAATGTTGCTCCCGCAACCTGGGGTGGAGTCCGACAGCCTTTTATCTTTGTTGGGGTAACGGCTGGTCCTGACCCCCCGGTGACTCACCTCCCTGTTTCGCCCAAAGGCGAGCGCTCCCCTTGCAAGTACTCAGGTCTCGCCCTTTCTGAGACCTTAGTCTCTGCAGCTTGGGAGACGTCGGTGGGTGACTAGACCCAGGGGCCGCCTCAGCCTCCCCTGACTCAACCGGTAGTGGAGCAGCTGTAAGTGATGGCCCAGCTGGAGGCGACGAGGGAATCCCTGCATCTGGAGCCAGGGCAGGCTCAGGCTCCAGACTCGGCCCAGCTGGGGTTTGTTGCAGGGGAACCTGTGCAGACTGGGACTCTTCAGGATCAGGCCCCAGACTTGGTTCAGATGATGCCTGAGGCAAAGGATCCTGTGCAGACAGACTTCTCTGGTTCCGAGTCCAAGCCTGAGTCCCAGGCCATCACACCTGGTTCAAATGTTGCCCCTTCCATAAACTCACCTGATAGCCTTAGGCATAGCAGAGAGGAAGACATGGGTCATAAGCTTCGGCTCTTGAGATCCCTTCTGTAGAATCCAAAGAATGTTAGTCACTGTTAAGGTTCCAGTGGAAAAGTTGGTAGTTCCTGCTTAGCTACTAGGTTGTGGGTTACGGCCAGGGCTTTTTTGCAGCCGAAACTCACCAGAATTCAGTTCTGGCGCCTCTCAGGTGTGCGCCATTGCCCTTATAAGAGAACAAGGGAGGTATACATGGTGAGTTCCGGCACCTCTTTTTCTGGAAAAATAACACTGGTTACGGTGTCCTTGTCTTTTGCACGAGTCGTGTAAAGAGCTGTTGCCTCTCTCAGAACAGGCCCAGCCTTTCTTAATGGCCCCACCATTAAGTTTTCATGCCTCTGTGTGAGCCGGTTATATCTGAGGTGCCTTTAAGGACAAGGGAAGTTGTGCTCGCCCAACAATTATTACTTTTTATTAATTCCACGAAACGTATTGGAATGTTGCTAAAGTTATTGTCAATGGCGCACATTTCTATTGTTTAATACTGTACGCAGTGCAAATTACCCGCCAGTACATTAGAAATGGCTCCCTGGATTGTTATAAATTTCCATGTAGCTAAATATTGATATTCTGCTTGGATTTTATTGATATGCACTCTCCTGGGCTGCCATATTGTTCCACTTTTTATGAATATGAAAAATCAAAGGTGCTTTATTATTTTAAATAGACCCCAGTTCAATTGTATTGTTGTTTTATGTCCAAAATCAGCTGCACTAATCAGCGAGGAAGGGCTGGATTTATACTCTCGCTCGGCCGTTCTCAGGATCCTGCGATGTAGCCGAGTGCAGCACAGCTGAGAACCTGCGGCAGCGACAGTGGTTTATCTGACTGATGGCAGAGCAGAGGAAGATGCCTTATGCTGAGTCAGACTGTTGGTCCATTGGGCTTAGTACTGTCTACACAGACTGGCAGAGTCTCTCCAGGGTTCCAGGCAGGGAGTCTCTCCCAGCCATTGAGAATTGAACCCAGGATCCTCTGGGTGCAAGGCAAATTCTCTGCCACTGAGCTACAGGCACAGAGAGGGGACCTTTCGAGTTTGCATGGCCTTGGTAATGTTGCGTCCCAATTTTCTTTCAAAATCACTGTGAATCCCCCTCCCGGTTCTCTTCCCTCCCCCCAAATAACACTTGTGAGTAAGTTATGCAGGCCGGTAACTTTCCAGCCAAGTGACTTGTCCTTCCTATATGGGGGCTGCAAATTGTTAGCAGAAAATGAGCCGTCACTTAGAGTCTGGCGGAAAATGTGTGGCTGCTGGCAGATGTTAGGAAGCTGAACCTGGCATGGGCTGTGAGATGGGAAGAATCATTGTGTGGCTGTGGGGTTGTTGTTGGTTTTTTTACAGCTGTGCGTGTGAAATCTGGGTGTGGCCGCAGAGGCCGCCTCTTGCACAGTCCATTCGAAAGCTATTAGAAGACTTGGTTTTGTCTTCGTTAATCTTGCCGTTCCCTCGCCTCCTCCCGCAATCAATCTGTGGCAAAAATTCATTGGAAAACGATAAGGGTTGCAACAGCGAAACATCATATAGAATTAAAAAACACTGGGCTTTCAATTGCTACCTCCCCCCCTTTTTTTCAGCCTGTCTAAATGTGACAAATCGTGTCTTCTTGTCTCAGGGGGGAAAATGACTGAAAATTTGGGGGGAAACTACGCTAAGTTCTAAGCAGGACAGTGACTCTGTTCCCAACGGAGGCTGACTTTGATGGCGCCGGAGAGCGCTTCGCACTTGTTCGCGTCCCCCTTCCCTTCTCCCTGCAGCCTTTGGGGGGATTGCTGGTCCCAGGAGGCTCAGCTCTCCACCTTGTGCTCTGCTGATGTCTGTTCCCGCGGGTCTTGCAAGCGCCGTGGGGCACCTCTCTTTGGCAGTATCCTGCTGCATGAAAGCGGGTTGGGGGGGGGATTGCGTTGGGGCAGGAGGGCTAGAAAAGGAAGGTGTCTCTTGATGAGTTGCAAAACACCCCGATCTTCTTTCTCTCTCCCCTCCTCAAGCAATGCTTCTGTCACTTCTCTCTCCCTGACATATTCCACCCTTGTCTTGGGAGGGGGGGGGCGATGTGCGCATGTGATGCGTTAGGAGATGCTTGCCAAGACTTCTGGGAGTTAGGAACAGGCCCATGAAGGAGAAGAGGACCCCTTTCCCGTTCTCCAGATGAAACATCTATCTCCCGCTCCTCCCACCCCACTGAATTTGTAAGAAGGAGCTATGCTTCGTTCCCCAACTTCTGTTTTCATCTGTGGCGAAAGGTGGCCCAGCTGCTACAGCAGACTTGAAACCTAAAACATGAGGCTTCGATGGTGCAAAAACAAAGGCCAAACTGTACATAGCATTAGTTCTGCGCCAAAGAGCAGAGTGGTTGTTCTTTTTAACAGAAAGTCAGCAATGCCCCTCCTCACATCCAAACTGGGAGCCTCGTGAGTAGGGGTGTAGGGGGGCTTTAACACTTTGCCCCCTGCTGCAGGTTCAATCCCTATTTGTAACCCCCCCCGGAACCTGTGCTTTATATTGCTAAAAAACCCCGGTTTCATTCATTTATTTTGGCAGGTGTGGGGTGTCCAGTATGAATCAGCCCTGCAGAGAGAGGATGATCCCTATACCCCACCCCCAGGCTAAGTTCCTAATCCAGATCAGCAGCCCCCTCCCCTCTCATAAACTCCTCCCCCTGCACTTAGGGGTGGAGCTCTATGACTAACATCACATGCATTTTGGCAATGAGAATTTCCGAATAATGAATTAAGCAGCTATTTGGTACAACTGAACTACTAATTAACCAAAAACACAGGCTGCTCGACCCTAATTAAAACAATCCATAGGTATGCAATGGTGCAGTTGTAAGGAACAGAGCGTCATAACAGTGGATCTGTCAATAGGCACGGGTAGAGCTCATTTTGAAAACCACCATCCAAAACACACATATTTGCTCCAAACGTTTCTTGCAATCATGCATGTTGCTTCACCGATCATATACTCGAGAAGGCAGCTGGATTCATAAATCTTCCATTATCGTTGTGCTGGAACCAATTCTCGCATGCATCATAGGAGACTTTCCAACCTCAAGCGTGCTTTTGAAAAGTTACTGAAACTCCAAGCTAGAGTCACGAGAAAGGAGCTGTAAGAAAGCTCTGTCAGATTCTTCCATTGAATTTGTAGGTGCTGGGGATTTCTCAGTGTGTCTTGTTTTATGTCCTGAAGCAGCAATAACAGCAAACAGCCTGGCCAATGTATTATAAACCTCCTTTCGCCTTTGTCTTCCTTGCCCTCCCTGTACTCTCTGCCCGCAGCTGGTGTTTTCTCTGAAGGTGGACTTTCGGAATGTGATTTTTGGAGTCTGACATGGTGCCTGGGATTCACCACTCCTCCCTCTGACCATCCCTCCAATTTCCAGAGAGGCTGCCATGTTAGCCTGCCTCTGTAACTATTTTGTTTTTATGTACAGCAGTCATCCCTGTTCTTTTTGCATTTTCTTTCCCACTGACCTCACTCTTCTCTATGCCCCTTCAGAAGCCACTAGGGTTTTTTATCTGGTGTAGGGTTAAATAACTTGCTCCTTCAGTGCAAAGATTCATGCTTGTGGAACCACATGCTCTCTAAATCTGTGGTTTTCCCTGACCCTCCCAAGCAGATTTAGAGAGGGCAATATATATTGTTTGGGGGAGGGGAGGAAAGGGGGAAATTCCATTGCACAAGCGTAAATCCTTGCATCAACAGAACAAGTGCCTTTGAACACACCCCAATGTATGTATGTGTGGATGCCTGATGACCATCTTCCAAAGCAACTACTCTATTCCGAACTTAAAAATGGAAAGCGTAATGCTGGTGATCAGCAAAAGAGGTTTAAAGACTGTCTCAAGGCAAATCTAAAAAAATGTAGTATAAACACCAACAATTGAGAAACACTGGCCTGCGAGCGCTCCAATTGGAAAACAGCTTTTACCAAAGGTGCCATGGACTTTGAAGACACTCGAACTCAGGATGCAAGGGAGAAATGTGCCAAGAGGAAGGCACGCTTGGCAAACCCTCACCAGGATCAACTCCCACCCAGGAACCAATGTCCCCACTGTGGAAGGACGTGCGGATCCAGAATCGGCCTCCACAGTCGCTTACTGACTCATTGTTAAAACGGTGTTTATGGAAGACGATCTTATTTGGCTACGAGTGATCTCCAAAGAAGAAGAAGATGTCTGTTTATGTCTGCCAGTTTAAGATTGCAATTCACACATATGCAGCCGACAGAAAGCTTCTACCATCTTCCCTTTTATCATTTACATCCCCCCCCCTCAAAGGGGAAGGCAAAATTGAAACCCTGCGGCTTCTCCCTGACAATGCAAATTAAGAATCTGCCTGCAGATTTCCTTTGATTGCAGAATTTGGTTTTCTAGCTACAGAATATTGAGAGGCTTTGTAGCGCAAAGTTCAAGACTCTTGCAATCTGCCCAGCGTGTCCATTGTCAAAGAGCGGGTGAAGGCTGGCAGGCGATTCCCTCCCCTTCTGGTACTTTGCTAATTTCCACAAGTAGCTAATAAGTACAGCTGGCTAACTGCTTTTTAACTGAACTTCCGGAGCCACTGACATTGACAAAAGGTTGTGCTCCCCCAGCCAGACTTCCATTAAGTGTGGAGATGGAGGGGAGTGCGGGAGGGAGAGAGGGACCAAAGCTGGGAGAAGGGAACCTCAACCCAAGCAGGCAGGCATTGGAGCTGAAATCACGAACACCCATCGCCCATGGAGACCAATTAAGGAGTGCAGCAGCTGTTTTTGGAAGCAGTTTTGGAGGCTTACATGCCGAGCACATGCTGGAGGAGCTCCCTGAGCATGAAATGTTTGGAAATCTGTTCCACTTTGCCTCGTGCGCAGCCACTGTGTCCCAAACAACTGTATTGCGAGATGGATTGTATGTGTGCAAGCAATAAGGGCCAAAGATGCTCTTGCATCCTTTGTAGCTGAGTCCTGTGCCCCCGCACAACAACTCTCATCTTGGTCTCTGTTAAATGTGACGGTGGCTGGTCTTATCACCAAACAGCATTTCTGAAAGATCCTGCTCACTCTGTGCTGCGATATATGTGCACCTGAGTCTCTGGCTGGTCTGTTGAGTTTCTGCCTTGGCCCTTCGTTCTTCCATACTGCTTGCAATGGTTGCTGAGGTCCTGGCCAAATTTGCTGCATTTCCTTCTACTGTGCACACATGTATGCTTCCACTGTTTCAATAGTTTAATGTTGTATTTTAATCTTGTTTTTAAGTTGTATTCATTCAACTTGTTTTTATTATTGCTTGTTAGCTGCCCTGAGCCCGGCCTTGGCTGGGGAGGGCGGGGTATAAATTATTATTATTATTATTATTATTATTATTATGCAAAGAGCCAAAGGAAAAAGCGGCTACTACACATAAACAAAATAGGGGATTTTAGGTGGGTCACAGGTGGATGACACATACACAAGATGAAGAACCAGCTCTCATCCCTTCAATTTATATTCAGATGCAATGAAATATGAATAGGGAAATCTTAAATACTCTAGTATTAGGAAACCATACTTGGCTTCAGGGGCCAGAAACTTCCTAATCCGAGTTTGGGGAATGGTGGTGGCACTTCTGTGAGAATGGGCTGGAAAGAGCCAGTGTGGCGCAGAGGTCAAAGTGCTGGATTGGGCTCTTTGGGAGACCAGGGTTCAAATCCCCACTCAGCCATGAAGCTCACTGGGTGTGACCTTGAGCCGCTCACTGCCTCTCACGACCAAGGTGGAATCTAGACATACATAAAAAAACATTGTGAAAATGCTTTTTTAAAAAAAAGTTTTGAAAAATATATTGAATTTGCCATAGCTCACCATTGCCACCTAGTGTCAGATTTGTATAATGCACTTTACAACACATGTAAAATGTTTTCTTTGCAACTATATAGCAGGGTCCTGAGATAGGCCCATTAATTCCAGTGGGTATGCTTTGAGTAAAACTTAGCTGACTGCCACCCAGAAAAGAAAAATCCGCTTACGCAGGACAATTTTCTGATGCCCTGCAGAGTGAGCCAA